CAATACAATACAATACAATACAATACAATACAATACAATACAATACAGGAATGGAGTGGAATGAAGTGGAATAGAATAGAATAGAATAGAATAGAATAGAATAGAATAGAATAGAATAGAATAGAATAGAATAGAAAAAAGAAAAAAGAAAAAAGAAAATATGGAATGGATGGGATGGATGGAAGGGAAGGGAGGGGAATACAATACAATACAGGAGTGGAGTGGAATGAAATAGAATAGAAAAGAAAAGAGAAAAGAAAAGAGAAAAGAAAAGAAAAGAAAAGAAAAGAAAAGAAAAGAAAAGAAAAGAAAAGAAAAGAAAAGAAAAAGAAATTAAAATATGGAATGGATGGGATGGAAGGGAATAGATACAATACAATACAGGAATGGAGTGGAGTGGAGTAGAGTAGAGTAGAATAAACAGAATTGGAAGGGAGCTTGGAGGATTGGACCAGTTGGATCCCACCGTTAGCTCCAGCCAATTCTGTAACAACAAATGCATTTATTTATTTTTGGGGGGATTTTTTTGTTTTGCATTTCTGAAAGAGATTGTGGAGGCCTGATATCTCTCGCGCCGAGCCCAGTCAGGAAAGAGCTTTGTCCAGACAGGGCTGGAATTTCCACCCATCCGAAAAGAATGCAATCCACAATCGTTAGAAAAAACAAGAATGATCCTAAGTAGCGCCAACTCATGGAAAAGCTCACAGGGTGGGGAGGAGAATGAAGGTTTGTGGGTTTGTGTGTTTTGGGACAAGCAACTTCACCGCATGTTTTCAAAGCTGAGAAATTGCAACTCCCTGGTGGTTGTTTTTTTTTAAAAAAAATTGGCAGTGAGGGCATAAAGTGAGCCAAGTTTACAAAGAAAAAGAAAATGGTTAAAGACACTGCAGAAAATTGCTCCCCTATTGCTGTGCGTTTGCAGTGAGTGTGTTTGCGTGTGTGTTTGTGTTGGGGCAGGAAACAGGCAAGAGGCATTAGCAAATGTTTATAAGGCATATTCGGGTGATTTCATCCTTAACACAACACAGAGAACCGCAAACTCAGCTCACCACAACTGAGCCTCGGTTATTGTGAGAACTTCAAGGTTGTGCTTGAACAAAGCTTGGATAAGACGTGTGTGTGAGTTGTGGGAACACACAGTCCCTTCGACACTAGCTCGGGGATGTAGAAGCTTGGCAGAGTGAAGAGGTGAGAATCCCAGAATTCCTCAGCCAGCTTAGTTTAGGATCATTTTTCACTCCAGATGTTTAGACTGAATTTGGCACCTTTGTTCACCTATCAAGCCTTTCCCTAGGACCCAGGATAAGCAGATGTGATTGGCAAATGATGTTGGATGGTGTTAAAAGATTTCGTCGCAGGATGGAGGCTTCTGCCGGTGTTTGAGACAAAGCAATGGGCTTCTTTTTCAATAAATTAATCCCTAAAAATATCAGCCTTTCTCAGTCTGGCAATTGAAGATGGGTGGACTTCCACTCCCAGAATCCCCCAGCCAGCAGGCTTTAAGATGGGTGGACTTCCACTCCCAGAATCCCCCAGCCAGCCTGCTTTAAGAGGGGTGGGCTTCCACTCCCAGAATCCCCCAGTCAGCCTGCTTTAAGAGGGGTGGGCTTCCACTCCCAGAATTCCCCAGCCAGCCTGCTTTAAGAGGGGTGGGCTTCCACTCCCAGAATCCCCCAGCCAGCCTGCTTTAAGAGGGGTGGGCTTCCACTCCCAGAATTCCCCAGCCAGCCTGCTTTAAGAGGGGTGGGCTTCCACTCCCAGAATTCCCCAGCCAGCAATGCTTTAAGAGGGGTGGACTTCCACTCCCAGAATCCCCCATCTAGCAATTCCTGAATTCTGACTGGGGAATTCTGGGAGTCGAAGTCCATCTGGTTTAAAGTTGCCAAAATTGAGAAACTTGGCTGTAATGGTAAGATTTGGAAACGGTTGGGAAGGGATTTCTTTTTTTTTTTTTAATTGTCAATACAGCTCTAGGAATTCCGAGTGGTCTCCCATCCCAACCAGGCCCGATCCTGCTTAGCTTTGGTGCATTCAGCCAAACCTATCCAGGTCACCCCAAATTCTCCACCCAACACGAACTATCAAACTTTTTCCTTGGAAGCTACGAATCCCCAGATTCTGTCTGGCTTGACCCTCTGAGACGTCCATTGGCCCCTCGGCCTGAGCAGAGAAGAGCAGTACAGGTAGACCGTTCCTGTCCACGGAGGATCGTTTTTTTTTCACCAGCGCGTCTAGCGTCCCCGGGCGCAGTGGGGAGGAATGTGTGGCAGCAGGGCTCGTCTTGGCACAAGCTGTGGATCAGTTCTTACGCCACGTTCCCGTACCTGCTCGGGGGTGTAAAGTCCGTCACGCTGCATAAAAAATCAGGGCCGGCTGAAGATCTGGCACGAGTCGGTTTCTGATTTGTGCCTAGGAGGTCCATGCCATAAAAAGTGCCAGCCTTGGGCAGATGTTGGTTGATGATTAGCCAATTACATCTGTGCCAGGTTTAACAAGCCAGTTTCGGGGGGAGACTCCCTCCTCGGCTCTTCCTGGGGAGCTCCGGATTTAAGACAGGATCAAACTTCCCATCTCTTTACAGCTGCCAGGCAGGGCGGATTTCGGAGGGGGGGATTGGAGATCCAGCCATTAAACCGAGGAATTGTTGTGTCCCAGTTTGTTTTTTCTTCATGACAACCTTGTGGGGTAGGCAGGCGAGAAATGGGGATTCCCTCGTGGGCTGGGTTCAGGAAGCGTGGCGAGACAAGGATTGGCCAGGCAAGTTGTGGTGCATTTTTTATTTTGTTTCTTTATCTTTTTATTGACCTGTAATATCTACTTATTTATCTGTGTTCTGTCTTTATGAATAATTCAGGTCAGCGGACATATCCAATGTACCTTCGTCTTATTTTCCCCGTAACAACAACCCTGTGAGGCGGCCTGGACTGAGAGAGAGAGAGAGGGACCGGCACACAGACACTTGATCAGCTTTTATGCCTAAAGTGGGACTAGAACTCACCGTCTCCTGGTGATTGGCCCAAGTCATTTAGCCAGCTTTCATACCTAAGGCAGGACTAGAACTCCCAGTCTCCTGATGATTGGCCCTAAGTCATCCAGCCAGCTTTCAGGGCTAAAGTGGGACTAGAACTCCCAGTCTCCTGGTGATTGGCCCTAAGTCATCCAGCCAGCTTTCAGGGCTAAAATGGGACTAGAACTCCCAGTCTCCTGGTGATTGGCCCTAAGTCATCCAGCCAGCTTTCAGGGCTAAAGTGGGACTAGAACTCCCAGTCTCCTGGTGTTTGGGCCAAAGTCATCCAATTGGTTTCCACGCCTTAAGGCAGGACTAGAACTCCTAGTTTCCTGGTGATTGGCCCAAAGTCATCCATTTATCTTTCATGCCTAAGGTGGTACTAGAACTCACCGTTGCCTGGTCAATTGGGGAATCCAGATTCACTTAACAACCGGGTGGCTAACTTAACCACGGCAGTGATTCACTTAACAAACTGAGCCCAAAAAGATTGTAAAATGAGTTAAAACTCACTTAACGACTGCCTTGCTTAACCACAAAAAGTTTGGGCTCAATTTTCGCTACACGTCGACGACTAGGTCGAATGCAACTCTTCCAGTCTGTCCTCCTTGTCGTGGTTTTTTTTTTTCTTTTCTTTTCATGCCACTGATCCAGCTCTCATGTGGCAGGCAGTTCCACGGCTCAAGTGCAGTTGTTTATGCAACCGTCTTTGTTAAAAGAGTTTTGAGGCCGTTTCCTTCTGGAGACGAGAAGCATGCGACCCAAATAAAATGCAGTCAAAATAATCCAAGGCAGGCAGAAAACAATGGGCCGCTGAAAGATTAAATCGAGTTGACATTTGACGCTCTGGCCAGAAAAAGGGGGAAAAAATAACATTTAAGGAAAAGAAGCTGGCGCCAAAAGATTTTGGTCTCAGCCGCTGACCGAACGGGTGGAATTTTTTCCCTGCTGGAGATAACCAACTTTGGACTTTGCAAACCGCCACCCTGTCCCCAGCCTTGTTTTGCCAACTTGGAGATGGCTAAATTTAAGGAGCTAGATCTCAAGATTGTGTGGAGGGCGCCCGTTGGAGCAGGGGAAACAGGACATCCCAGTCCTGATGGACCCCAAAATGTAAATGTAAAATGTAAAAAGAGCCTTGGTAGTACAGTGGTCTAAAGCACCCTGTTATTAAGACCAGCTGCCTGCAATTACTGCAGGTTCGAATCTCGCCAGGCTCAAGGTTGACTCAGCCTTCCATCCTTTCTAAGGTGGGTAAATTGAGGACCCAGTTTGTGGGGGCAATAAGCTGACTTTGTATAAATATACAAAAGGATGAAGGCTATTGCTTAACGCATTGTAAGCCGCCCTGAGTCTCCGGAGAAGGGCGGCGTATAAATCGAATTTAAAAAAAAAAATGTTGGTTTGAAAAGATGCAAGAAACAACTTTTGGCATCAGGGAACTCCTTGGGGTGGGATGCAGAACAGGTAGTCCTCGATTTATGACCAAAACGGGGGCCCAAAATTTATATTGCTCGGGGAGACATTTGTTAGGTGGGTTTTGCTCTGTTTTACGACTTTTGTTAAGTGAATCACAGCAGCTGTTAAGTTAGCGACACTTGAATCTGGCTTCCTCCATTGAAGGTCGCAAAAGGGGATCACATGGCCTGGGACACTGCTACCGTCATAAGTGTGAATCGATTGCCAAGCGTCTGAATGTGAATCACATGATCGCGGGGATGCCGGGACAGTCGTAAGTGTGAAAAATGGTTGTAAGTCACTTTTTTCAGTACAGCTAGTCCTCAATTGAGCCCAAAATTTATGTTGCTAAGTGAGAAATTGGTTAAGTGAGTTTTGTCCCCATTTTATGACTTTTCTTGCCCGGGACATTGCAACCGTCACAAATGTGAGTGAGTTGTCAAGCATCCGAATGTAACTCGCGTGATGCTGCAACGGTCGTAAGTGTGAAAAACGGTCATAAGTCACTTTTTTCAACGCCATCGTGACTTCGAACGGTCACTAAGTGAAAAGCTGTAAATCGAGGACTACCTGTACCATTGTTATTTTTGAATGGTCACTAAATGAACTGCTGTAAGTCGAGGACTCCCTGTATAGATAGTCCTCGACTTATGGACACAGTGGGGACCAAAATTTCCAATGCTGAGCGAGAATAACAAGAGTTGGGGCCTTCGAGATCATCTAGTCCAACCGGTTTCCTTCCCGGACGGTTTCCAACAAGCCACGTCAATGGGGGAAGCCGGATTTGCTTAGTGACCACAGAGGAAATGGTGATTCAAATCGGGTATGACTCACTTTAACGGCTGCCTGGCTTAGAAATGGACGCTCAGGTTCCAAAAGGGGTCATAAGTCGAGGACTACCTGTATATATCTTGGTAGAGCCTGATAAAGTTGGGCGGCCTCTAGAGCAGGTTCTCCTGCTTGAGTGGGGGGCTGGACTAGAGGACCTCCAAGGTTCCTTCCATCCTATTCTATTCTATTCTATTCTATTCTATTCTATTCTATTCTATTCTATTCTATTCTATTCCATTCCATTCCATTCCATTCCATTCCATTCCATTCCATTCCATTCCATTCTATTATTATTTCCATATTGTATTCTATTCTATTCTTCTATTCTATTTTTCTATTCTGTTCCCATATTCTGTTCTATTCTGTCCTGTTTCGTTCTATTCTAAAATAAAGAGAACGGAAAGATAAAATTAATAACGTCATCAAAGGCAAGTCTCCACGGTTGATTCTTCCTCTGTTTATGGAGAATGAATAAATTGCTGACTTAATTGCAATTTTAAAAAAAATAAACAAAGCTGTAGTTGAGTCTTTCCGTGTTTGGGGAGCTGGCAAAAGACATGAGATAACCAGGAACAGCTGCAGTTGAGGGTAAAATTAAAGCCCCATGACGGCCACAACAGTCCAAATGAAGCCGCCATCTTGACTTTTTTGACCTCTGCTGTGTCAAGCACACCGCAGGCTGAGCCAGCCCCCTTCAAAATAAAAACGTCTCACTTAGGAACACAAGGTTTAGGCTCAATTGTAGTCGTAAGTGGAGGACTACCTATTTGCGAAACTACACACAACTCTTATTCCTGAGATTTTAAACCCGTTTCCTCCAACAACAGATGACTTAAACAATGAGAAACGCAAATTCACTTAACAACCATGTTACAGGTAGTCCTCAACTTACAACGCTTCATTTCAGGACTGTTAAAAGGAACTTAACGACCGTTTTTCACACTTATGACCATTGCAGCATCCCCCCCCCACAGTCACGTGATTGAGATTCAGAACTCGGGGCCACTGACTCATAGTTATGACAGTTGCCGTATCCTGGGGGGGGGGTGTCACGTGATTGCGACCTGATGAGCAAAGTCCATGGGGAAGCCAGATTCAGAATCAGAATCAGAATAGAGTTGGAAAGGGAACCTTGGAGGTCTTCTAGTCCAGCCCCCTTTCTCAAGCAGGTGACCTTATATCCGTGATGGCGAACAGGTGCCACAGGTGGCATGCGTAGCCCTATCAGTGGGCACGCGAGTTCAGCTCCGGCGCGAAACAGGCTGTTTCCTGTCTCTGGAGAGCCTCGGAGGGAGGGTGGGGGGTGGGGAAGGCCCATTTTTTGCTGTCCCCGGCCTCCAGAGCCTCTCTAGGAAGTTGGCAAATGGGCCGTTTTCGGCCTCCGGAGGGGTGGGGAAGGCTGTTTTCACCCTCCCCAGACTCCTAGAGAGGCTCTGGAGTCTGGGGACAGCAAAAAAACAGGCCTTCTGGTCCAACCGGAAGTTGGCAAACAGGCCATTTCTGGCCTCTGGAGGACCTCCGAGTGGGTGGGGAAGGCCCTCCCCAGGCTCCTAGGAAGGCTCTGGAGCCAAGTGAGAGAGTAAAAAGGACCTACCGGGCCATCATGTGCCAGGAGCGGGGAGGGAGCAGGGGGGTTGCACACGCATGCACAGGGGGCATAGAATTATGGGTGTGGGCACGGAGGCGCACGACCCCCCCAGCCCCCCCCACTCCATCACTGTCCTATATCATTTCAGACAAGTGACTGTCCAGTCTCTTCTTGAAAACCCTCCAGGGATGAAGCTTCCCTTCACTTCACTTATTAGCTTAAATTGAAAACGAATACAGCAATAGAGAGAGATGAAGGAATTGGAAGGGAGGAGGAAGGAGAGAGAGGGACGGAAGAGTAGGGAGGAAGGAAGGGAAGGGAAAGCAGAGTAGGAGAGAAGGTAAAACAGGGGGGAAGAGAGGAGGAGAAGGAGAAGAGAAGGGGAAGTAGAGAAGAGAAGAAGAAGGTGGGGAAAGAAAGTTGGAAGGACAAGAGGGAGAGGCTAGGTTTGAGGAGAAAGATTGCTGTATAATTTAAAAAAAAAGATGAAGTGGAAGAAAGGCCGCTCTGAACCAACAAATATAAATATATTAAGAAAATATAATGAATTCTCCCCTTTTTAAATGTAAATTTTTAAATGTAAATTTAAATTTGTTTTAAATTATGGGGTATTTTAAATTCAGCCAAATTATTTAATTCGTTTTTTAATTCATTTTAAATTTTTTGTATTTATGTGTTTTAATCTCCTGGCTGTTCACCGCCCTGAGTCCTTCGGGAGAAGGGCGGTATAGAAATTTAATATAATAATATTTATAATATAATATAATATAATTGTTTATATAATATAATATAATTGTTTAAGAATAAAAGAGGACAAATACGTACAAATAGTAAAGTTAGAATTTAGGGATAAATGAAGAAGGTGTTTATCTAAGTATAGAAATACTGAGGTATATTTTTTTTAAAAAAAGGAAACGATATTGACAAAAATTGTAATTGAGTAAAATGGATTTGAATTGGACTAATGGTATAAGATAAGAAACGACCAACACTCTGTTCAAAAAAGAAGAAAGAAAGATATGGGTGAAGGTGGAAGAGGAGAAAAGAAAAAAAAAACCCAATAAAACTTGTTTAAAAAAAAACAAACTTCACTTATTAGCTTAAAAAACCTGCAACGATTCGCTTAACAACGGTGGCACCCAAGGTCGTAAAATGGGACAGAACTCACTGCCTCGCCTAGCCATGGAAATTTGGGGTTCGGTTCTGGTTGAAGGTTGGGGACCTCTCTATGGTTCCACACTTTCCGTAAGGCCCTGAAGACATTTTTATTTCAGCAAGCCGGCCTGGCCTGAATAGGTTTTATGGGTTAATTTTTTTAATTGTATAGCTTGGGGTTTTAAATTGGGAGGCCGATTAATTTAATTTATTTTTTAGTTATCTTAACTTTTATATTGTATGTTATTTTCATTTTCGGCTGTTCACCGCCCTGAGTCCCTTCGGGGAGAAGGGCGGGATATAAATTCAATAAATTGAATTATTAAGCTGGTTATTAAGACCAGATGCCTGCAATTACTGCAGGTTCGAATCTCACCAGGCTCCAGGTTGACTCAGCCTTCCATCCTTTCTAAGGTAGGTAAATTGAGGACCCGGATTGTGGGGGCAATAAACTGACTTTGTATAAATATACAAAAGTATGAAGGCTATTGCTTAACGCATTGTAAGCCGCCCTGAGTCTCCGGAGAAGGGCGGCATATAAATCAAATTAAAAAAATAAAAATAAAAAAATAAATGTGTTTTGTCTCCACAACAGGCACACTCGGTGTGTCTAGGGTGAAGCTGTGGTCCCCTGGACATTCTCCAGACCATCTGCAGCCAGAAGGTCAAGTGGCCCATGGACAAGAGGACAGAGGTCTTCTAACCGGTGGGATGGAGGACACAGTCTCCAAGGAAGAGACCCAGCCTCTCCCCTCCCCGAAGGGGCCTTCGGACTGCAAAGACGGAAGCGATTGCACGGAGAACCGGCATCTCCTGGACAAGGCCACCAAGCCGACCTTAGAACTGACCGACGGGGTCCAGAAACCCAACCCAGCCAGCCATGGTGAAAATCGAGCCACCAGTCCAGTGTCCAATGGCTTCTCTGGAGCCCAGAGCCCTCTCGGTCCTGGCAAGGTGGCAGGAGACACCCTGGGCCTCCCCTCCGGACCCTCCCCTGGCCCGCCGACCACCGCCATCTTCGGGGTGGTAGGATCTCAACCGCCCTTGACGGAACAGCGGGAGAGAGAGACCTGGAGTAAAAAAATGGACTTTCTCCTCTCGGTCATCGGTTATGCGGTAGACCTGGGCAACGTTTGGCGCTTTCCGTACATATGTTACCAAAATGGTGGAGGTGAGTTCCAGTGCTTGGAAGAACATTGAACGTAGAAAAATAGAGTTGGAAGGGATCTCAGAGGTCTTCTAGTCTATTTTATTGAATTTTTATTTATTTTATTGAATTTATATACCGCCCTACTCCCGAAGGACTCAGTCTAGCCCTCTTTTCAGACAGTATTCCATTTCAGAGAAGCGGCTGTCCAATCTCTTCTTAAAGAGAACCTCCAGTGATGGAGCACCCACAACTTCTGGTGGCAAACTGTTCCACTTGTTAATTGTCCTCACTGTCAGGAAATTAATCCTTAATCCCAGGTTGCTTCTCTCCTTGATTAATTTCCACCTGTTGCTTCTTGTCCTGCCTTCAAGTGCTTTGGAGAATAGCTTGACTCCCTCTTTATCCGCCCTGAGTCTTCGGAGAGGGGCGGCATATAAATTGAATTAATTAAATTAAATTAAATTAAATTCTTCTTTGGGGCAGCCCCTGAGATTCTGTAGAAATTCTCCATCATCCAGGTCATGGTGTCCCACAGGTGCTTTTTCAAGAGGCAACTAGACACTCTGGTTTTTCTTTGAAGACCTTTCGCTTCTCATCTAAGAAGCTTCTTCAGTTCTCCCGGGAGGCCTCCATGCGGCCTGATTTTGGCCAGCAGAGTGCTGCAGGAGGACTGGATTGGACTGGATGACAATGACAGTAGTGGCCAAAATTGTGGAAACCTTTTGGGAAAAGTGTATTTTCTAAAACTAACTAATAACACCACTTTTTGGGGGAGTAGTACCTTAAACTTATATATCAATGGAAAAATAATTTAATGAAGAATGTAAGGCAATAGCTTTTATGAAGGATTTGCCATGAGAATAGCAGTTACAGTATAAAGAAGAAAAGTGAAACACGTAGAAAAAACGAGATATACAAAAATGATCCCCATGTCAGATAATCCTTACTTGGGTACCTTTTAGCATGAATGACGGCCTTACAACGTCTTCCCATGGAGGGAACCAAGTCTTTGAGTTCTGCAGCTGTTCTAATGTGAAACCGAGATGGAATGATGGCTTCTGTTAACTGGGTTTTATTGCTAGGTTGCTTCTGACTAGCAAGTTTCTTTAGTCGGCTTCCTAGATTTTCCATTGGGTTAAGAAGGTCTGGGCTCTTCCCAGGCCGTTCCAGCAGTGGAATAGGATTATCTGGAAACTGTCAAAAAAAAAAGTGGTGTTATTAGCCATCAAACCTCAAAAATACAATTTTCCCGAAAGGTTTCCACAATTTTGGCCATGACTGCATGTGGCTCAAGCAACATCCTATATTTATTTATTTATTTATTTTATCTCGTGTTTTATCTCGTGGCTGTTCACCGCCCTGAGTCCTTTGGGAGAAGGGCGGTATAGAAATTTAATAAAATAAAAATAAATAAATAAATTTATTTATTTGGTTCGATTTATATGCCACCCTTTTCTGGAGACTCAGGGCGGCTTACAATGCTTTTAAGCAATAGCCTTCATATTTTTTGTATATACCTGCTTAGTAGGGCTTTCGGCCCCCCCTAAGCAGTGTTCTTCTTTATACAAAGTCAGTTTATTGCCCCCACAAACCGGGTCCTCATTTTACCTACCTCGGAAGGATGGAAGGCTGAGTCAATCTCGAGCCTGGTGAGATTTGAACTTGCAGTAATTGCAGGCAACTGGTATTACTTAACAGTGCTTTAGTCTGCTGCGCCACCAAGGCACAATACTACAGTTTAATGCCAGATTTTACATACTCCAGGTCCATTTAATCTACAATCAACGATCTCTCATTGGCGGCCAATTCTATTTACCATCCTAGAAATTTTACCTCTGCTGTTAAGTCTTACCATATCGTATTATTTATGCGATTGTATTCTTATTATTAGTTGAATAATAAACATACAATAGTATAGATAGCTTTTTTCTTCCTGGAAAAACAATTTACTATTAAACAATGGGGTATAAATTTAAAAATAAAAAAGTGTCAAAAGACCACGCCCAGCTCCAGCCACCCTGAGGGGGGGGGGGCTCCGAGATCAAACAGAATCTTGATGTATCCCTCAATGAAATAAAGTTTGACACCCCTGCTTCAAAGGTCGTAAGTGTGGAAAACGGTCATAAGTTGCTTTTTTGTAATGTTGTAAATCAGTGTTTCTCAACCTTGGTAGCTTGAAGATGGGTGGACTTCAACTCCCAGAATCCCCCAGCCAGCGCTGCTGGATTCTGGGAGTTGGCTGGGGGATTCTGGGAGTTGAAGTTCTGGGAGTTGAAGATTCTGGGAGTTGAAGTCCACCCATCTTCAAGCTACCAAAGTTGAGAAACACTGTTGTAAGTGAACGGTTGTAAGTTGAGGACTACCTGTGTTTTGCAATACAGAATAACAGAGTCGGAAGGGGCCCCTTGAGGTCTTCTAGTCCAACCCCCTTCTAATCCTATCCTTTCACCTAGGGGCCTTCCTCATACCGTACGCAATCATGGCCATCTTCGGAGGAATCCCTCTCTTCTACATGGAGCTGGCGCTGGGGCAGTACCACCGCCATGGCTGCATCTCCATCTGGAGGAAGATCTGCCCCATCTTCAAAGGTAATTCAGGAGAGCAAGGCTGTTAGTATTATGGGATGTGGGGCAGGGGTGAACGTAGAAGAGAGTGGAAAGACCAAGAGGAGAGAACATCTGTAGCTCAGCGTTGAATGGCTTGGGGGTTTTCTTGTAGACATTTCAGGACCCAACTAGGTACCAGCATCAGTTCTACAAGGGAGTGGGGTTTGCGGAAAGGAGGAGGAGGAGGACGAGGAAGACAACAGTGGGGTCTCTGAGCTTGTGGGTTTTCTTGCAGACGTTTCACGACCCAACTAGGTAGCATCATCAGTGCTAGAAGGGAGGAGCAGGAGGACGACAACAACTATGGAGTCCTTGGTGCTCTCTGAGCTTGTGGTTTTTTTGAAGACATTTCATGACCCAACTAGGTAACCTCATCAGTGCTAGAAAGGAGTGAGGCTTGCTCTCTGTTTATATACTAGTGGCTTGCCCTGGTCAGTGTAGGTGCAGTGTGGTTTTCTCTTCCTTGGTAATTCCTCGAATGTTTGGAGTTCCTTCTTGCTTATTTGGGTATAATAATAATAATAATAATAATAATAATAATAATAATAATAATAATAATAATAATAATAATAATAATATGCTTGGGACATGTTTGACTAGTGATTTGGGATAAGAAATCCAGCATGGTTATCTTGTTTGCTGTATATACTGTCATTTATGCATTAATAATAATAATAATAATAATAATAATAATAATAATAATAATAATAATAATAATTACCCTGACATAACAATAGTTGAAAAGAAAAAAGTATGGTTCATTGACATTGCAATACCTGATGATGCACGGATTGAAGATAAGCAGCAAAAAAAAATCACATTTAGGCCTAGCCTAAATGGTTCTTAATTGGGATTTTAAATTTTATGGACTTGGGGGTTTTAAATTGGGAAGCTAATGATTTAATTCTTTTTTAATTATCTTAACTTTTGTATTTGTATGTTTTTTTAATTTTGGCTGTTCACCGCCCTGAGTCCCTTCTGGGAGAAGCGCAGCATACAAATTAAATAAATAAATAAATAAATAAATAATAGAATCACAAAGTACCGGGACTTGCAAATTGAAGTTGAGCGACTGTGGAAAAAGAAATCATGTGTTGTCCCGATTGTAATTGGAGCCCTTGGAGCAATACCCAAAGGGCTATTTAGAAATTCTAAATTTGCCGGACTTGAACATTTTGACTCTACAAAAAACCACCTTACTCGGAACAGCTGACATCCTCCGACGATACCTTAACAGTTCCTAGGTCCTTGGTTAGGACTCGAGCTGCTGAGCTATTAACCAGCCTCAAAGGCTGTGAATCTCACTAAAGATTAACCAATAAATAATAATAATAGTAATAATAATAATAATAATAATAATAATAATAATAATAATGCATTCAAAACTTTTTTATTTCTTTTTAAAAACTTTTTTATTTCAGCAGGCTGGCCTGGCCTAACTCTCCCTTTTAAATTTTTAAATTGTTTGATTTGTTTTATAAATTGGGTGTTTTAATCTGTGTTTCGGCCAAAATATTTAATAATTTTAAGGGACTTTTAATGTTTGTATTGTCTGTATTTTATCTTGGCTGTTCACCGCCCTGAGTCCTCCGGGAGTAGGGCGGTATAGAAATTTGATAAATAAATTTGATACATAAATAAATAAATAAATAAATAAATAAATAAATAAATAAATAATACGGTCGATACATAGGATGCTGGCAGCAACCCATATCAACCATCAGCGCCAGTCGATAATATTTGTGATACATTTTTAAATGTTCAGTTGACTTGAGTTTCATGTTTAATGAATAAAAAAGATGATAATAATAATAATAATAAGTAGTAGTAGTAGTTAATAAAAAGCTGACGAGCTATTAACCAGCTTCAAAGGCTGTGAATCTCACTAAAGATTAATTAATAATAATAATAATAATAATAATAATAATAATAATAATATGGTTGATACATAGGATTATTAACCAGCCTTAAAGGCTGTGAATCTCACCAAAGATTAACAACAACAACAACAACAACAACAACAACAACAACAATAATAATATGATTGATACATAGGATGCTGGCAGCAACCCATATCAACCATCAGCACCAGTCAATAATATTTGTGATACATTTTTAAATGTTCAGTTGACTGAGTTTCATGTTTAATGAATAAAAGATAATAATAATAATAATAATAATAATAATAATAATAATAATAATAATAATAATGGCATCCCAATGCAGCCCTCAAAACTCTCCCTCGGCTTTTGAACGGGCCTCACGGGTCCTTCCCTTCCTCGTTTCCCGTCCCTTTCCAGGCATCGGCTACGCCATCTGCATCATCGCCTTCTACGTGGCCTCCTACTACAACACCATCATGGCCTGGGCCTTGTATTACCTCGTCTCCTCCTTCCGCAGCGACCTGCCCTGGGTCAGCTGCGACAACGCCTGGAACACCCCGCACTGCATGAATTATTTCTCCAACCAGAGCATCGCTTGGACGGCCAACTCCTCCTCCCCGGCCGAAGAATTCTATACGTAAGTGCATGTAAGTCGAAAGAGGGGACGGTCGGGAGGACGGGAAGGAGGCGTGGACGATGGGCAGAGGAGTGCGGGAAGCCCTCGGCTTTCTTGGAAGGTTTTCGGGACAACCCCCGACGCGCAGGTCCCCGTTTTTATAGGACAAAAAAAAGGCAGACTCCGGCCACCATTGAATACACACACCTGACCCATGGAATAGGGAAGGGATGGCGAACCTTTTTGCCGTCGCGTGTCAAAAACGGAGGGAGTGCAGGGGGCACCCATAATTCAATGCCTCCCCAGCGCCCCGCCCCCCCATGCATGAACACATGACCCCCCC